CATTCGAACTTCTTTTGCTTCCCTGACTCATCTTTCTGGGCGGCTGACCTCATAATTTTGAAAAATGGCAGACATTTATCTGCTGACTTCGAGATGAACCGATGCAGAGCTGCCACCCTTCCAATCAGCCTTTATATCCTTCACTGATTTCGGCGGTTCCATCTCGGCAATTGCTCTGATCTTCTTTGGGTTGACCTCAATTCCCCTTCGGGACACCATGAAACCTAGAAATTTTCCAGACTCTTTGGCTGGGTTCAACTACATCCTGTTCTTTCTAAGGTTGTTAAAGGTTTCGTCGAGGTCAGTGAGATGGTCTTCTGCTTTTAGGCTCTTTACCACAATGTCGTCGACATATACCTCCAGGTTCTTGCCAATCTGGGTGTGGAAGACAATGGTTACCATTTTCTGATAAGTAGCACATGCATTCTTCAAGCCGAACGGCATCATGACGTAACGACAAATTTCATCGCCAGTATAGAACGCGGTTTTCTCTTCGTCTTCTGGAGCCATTGGCACCTGGTGATACCCCGAATATGCGTCCAAGAGGCTTAACCTCTCATTGCCTGAAGCCACTTCAACTAGTTTGTCAATGCTCGGCATTGGATAGCAATCTTTAGGGCAGGCGTTGTTAAGATTTGTGTAATCAATACACATTCGCCATTTGCCATTTGCCTTCTTCACTAGAACTGGGTTAGCCACCCATTCACAGTAATCGACTTTCCTGACAAAACCAGCCTGCAGGAGCTTCGTTACCTCTTCTTTAATAGCCTGAAGCCTCTCACCCCCGAAGAGACGCCGCTTCTGGGCCACTGGTTTCTTCAATGGATTGGTGCTGAGCTTATGTTGAGAGACTGAATTTGGAATTCCTGGCATATCTGCCAAAGTCCATGCGAAAACATCATTATTAGCTCAAAGAAAAGCTATGAGTTCTGCCCTTTCCTCTGGGTTCAATCTAGTTCCGATCTGCGTCTTTCAGCTCGGATCTCTGTCGTCAATAAGTACTTCTTCAACATCTTCGACCGGAGCAGCTCTAGTTTCATCTTCCGGTCGATTATCTACGATCTCAACACCCATAACTTGCTGATTATCAGAAATTTGCTAGGAAATGGCTTCGGGTGTCTGAGCTTTACCCTTCATGGGTTGTGTTATCGAGGTAATATAACAATACCTGGCCACCTCCTGGTTTCCTCGTAGTGTTGCTATTCCCATGGGAGTTGGGAACTTCATACAAAGGTGAGATTGGGAAACCACAGCTCGGATTTCAGTCAGTGTGGGTCGGCCAATAACAATGTTGAAAGAGGACGCCATCTTGACTACAAGGAACCGGACCGACGGGGTTACATAGGTTCTACCCCTCCCAAAAGCCACATGGAGGGTAAGAACTCCTTCTACCGGAACAGGTTGGTTATTGAAACCATAGATAGGATCATCATACTTCTGCAACAATGTTGGATCTAGTCCCAGACTCTCGAAACAGTGGAAGTACATGATGTCTGGTGACTCCCAGTGTCAACAAGGACACGTTGTACTTCACAGTTGTTAATCATGACAGAAGTGACCAAAGGATCATTGTGGGGTGTAACAACTGTATCGAGATCAGCAGATGTGAAAGTAATTGGTTGATTCTTCCATTCAGCATCGTCAATCTTTCGCTTCTGAGCTCGGTTTTGATGTTTAACCTCCCTAACATATAGCTTTCGCTGCTTAGAGCTAAGTCCACCTGCTTCAAGGCCTCCCGTAATCATATGTATGATTCTAGCTGGTGGTGGGAGTGGAGGTGGGGTTTGTTGATATCCCACACCTTGCCTATTTGGGGGATTGCGAGCTCCTTGAGGCTGCGGCCTCTGTTCTCTGACAAACCTCGGCTGTTCAGCTCGCTGTACATACTCATTCAGCATTCCCTTCTAAGCTAAACTTTCCAGTTCGGACTTTAAACTGTTACACTGCTCTGTAGTATGACCGTGATCCTGGTGAAAATCACAATATCTGGTATGGTCTCGACTAGCAGCAGCAGTTCGCATTGGGCCGGGACGTCTCAAGTCCATCTTATTTTTGATCTGCATAAAAATTTGTGACCTCGGCAAATTAAATGGAGTCCAATTAACTGGAGGTTTACCTGCAGATTGTTGTGGGGGCGTGGAGTTCGGCCTTCCGAATCTCGGTGGGGAGATCAACACTGGACCTCGGTTTTGTGCCATTCTCATCCTTTTTCGGCTCGGGTTGTCATCTCTCCATTCTGGGTTCTGGTTCTTAGAGGAAGGTGGATTTTGCGCCAGGGCGTATTCCTCAACAGTTATAAATTTTAGAGACCTATCATTCACCTCGCTAAAGGTGGTGGCAGCATGTTTGATCAAACTGTCTCTAAACCTATCATGTTTGAGACCAGCAATTACAGCCGCAATGCCCACAGCTTGGTCAAAGGAACTAACCTCCAATACTGCATCATTGAACCTGCTCATGTAGTTTTTCAGAGACTCCCCGTCCCTCTGTTTAACTCGCATCAACTCAGAAGTAGTTTTCCTAATCAACCTTCTACTGGAAAACTTAGTGGCAAAGGCAGATGCCATTTCTGTATAAGAGCTAATCGACCTCGAAGGTAGACTGTAATACCAAGTTCGAGCATTACCTCGCAGAGTAGAGGGGAAAATTTTGCACATCAACACGTCAGAGGCGTTTTGAGCTTGCATGCAGGAGTAAAAAGCATGCAGGTGGTCATTGGGATCCTTCGTCCCATCATAAGTCTCCAATTGTGGTATTTTGAAGCCAGTAGGATAGGGTTCCAGCGTGATGTTGGTATTCAAGGGGTGAGGTATGGAATCAGCAGCATGGTGTGGGGGTGGGGCACCTCGGTGTTCAGCTACCAGCTTTTCTAAGCTATCAAGGTGGCGGGTAACATCATCAGGGATGGGTTGTTGAGCGGGTGCTATGTGGGATTGATCTTGAGATTCACTAACAACGGGAGCAGGTTGAACCGGTTGGGGATTTTGTTGTGGAGCTGGGGGTTGTTGAGCGGGGTTTAGTAAATTAATGAGGGGATCACCAGGATTATTTCTAGCTAGAAGCTGAGCTAGTACCAACTGAAAAACACCAAACTGCTGCTGCATGGCAGCAAGCTGAGCTGTCACCACATCTTGGTTGGCAGTGGAAGTGGAATTGTGAGCTGAGGTATGGGGTTGGTTTTCATCTCCTCCTTCTGCATGATCAACAGGAGGGAATATGGTTGGGACCTGAGGTGGAAGTTGAGGTGGGATTTGAGGTGGGATCAGAGGTGGAAGGTTGTTTGAGGGTTGGCCTTGCCCATGAGGCAGAGATGAATTACCACCTCGGACTGATTGAGTGTGAACCATGATGAAAGAGCAACTAGAAAGCTTTTAGTTCGATTCCCACAGACGGCGCCAATGTAATTGCACCAAACCAGAAGTCCTTCTTCAGTCCGCGCTTGCACTCCGGAATAACCTGCAAAGCCCCGAGGTGGAACTCGGGGTAGACACTCCGATGCTTAAGTCAGCAATAATCGGGGCTACCTTTAGGGCGGAGATGAAAAGAGCTTAGGGTTGGTTTCAATTACCTTTTTGACATGGCCCGGGGGGTATTTATAGGATCCAATGAGGAACCCACGTGGCATGCCAAGCAAGATAATCGAAGCCTGACGTGTCCATCCAGACGATTATTCTGGGACCGGGAATTTGAGAGGTATCCAGGTGCACGAGCGTCCACCATACTTGCTGTTCCACTCATCGTAAGAAATTAGGTGCGGGCATGCTTATTGTCCTTGTCATGCAGCCATTTGAGCGGGTCCGAGGCTTGGCACCTTGGACCTATCCTTACAGTTCCTTATTGACACAAATTCTGAACACACTGGCTTGTTAGCAACCCTTCTAATCATCCTGTAACAAGACAAAAGACTTGATTTGTGAATTCCTTAGTTGCAATTTTTTTTTTTTTAAATTTTCATCAAATCATATACCAACATAGAAATTAAATAGGTTAAACCACTCATGAAATTTTCACAAAGATATAAGATTACATTAGGAGAGGGATTGATAATGTCATCACACACATTCAATAATTACAGCTGCGATACATATAAAGCAAATCACATTATCAATATAAGATACAAAAGTAGTTTAATTAACTACTCCCTTCTCTTCATAAGTTTGCTTGTAAATCTCCCCATTATGGATGACATCCTTTCTCTTATGAAGAATCTCTCCCTGTTAAAGTTTCCCGGCCCATAAATTGAATAAAAAATCTCAGTAAGAATCTGAGATTGCAATGACCAAAAGACGACGACCGGAATGCTGGCGAGCAAAACTAGCGAGAAGATTACCCACCATCGATCCGGTAACATTATAGAAACAGCAGCACAAAAAGCTACCATCATTGTTACAACAGAAATGAGGAGCGTGAGAATGCCGACACTCAACCAAAGAAAATCCTTTTCAGTGTAGAGATATGTGAGGATTCCTAAAAACGTCAGCACTGAAGTAGATGCAGCGAACAGAGAAATTGCATCTGACATTATATATGTCAAAATTAATCTTTTATGTGAGAACATGGGATAGCCATTTCCATTGTTACCACCGGGAATGGTGAAGGCTGCAGCAAACATAATAGTGATGATGAGGGTACCAACTATAATGTAAGAATTTGTTGTTTTCTTCATCCATGCTTCAGCTTCTTTTAACAATTTAATGTGTTCCCTGGTAAACACTTGCCAAGGAGTTTCTCCATTGTGATTCACCCAGTCTTTATTACACTCTGGAACAACAGACTCAAATTCCTGCATCAACGAACTCATAATTAAATTAAGCTACTAACCTTTTTTCTTTTTTTGAAGAAGAAAGGTAATTGTAAGCTACTAATTATTTTTACA